AGACTGACTTCCTCACTGTTTGATCATACATTATACTCTTGCCTTCTCTAAACCTTGATTCCTGGTCTTCCTAATAGGGGTTCCTAATTCATCTTGTCATTTAGGGTCCAGCTCAATTTAACTTCTTTGGGGGAACTCCTAAAAATCTTTTCACTGGCACATCTGGAAGGCAGTCTAGTGGAGTAGAAATCATTTGGATTTTGGTATTTGTTATTTATTATTGTATAACAAACCACACCAAACCTTAGAGACTTGATACAACAAATGACAACCATCTCATTTCTCTTAATTCTGTGGGTTGGCTGGACTGTTCCCCTGCTGATTTCTCTGTATTTATTTTCTGTGGCTGCATTCTACCTGGTAGACCCACTGGGAGCTGGGCTTGGCTGGGACAGCGGGGCCTCTCTGAGCCATGCTGTCTCAAACAGATAGACAAAAATCTTCCATCCACTGGTTTACTCTTCAAATACAACAGTCCTCAACCCAGGTCTGCTATATAGGTGGCAGGGGCTCAAGTATTGCGCCATCACCTGCTGCCTCCGAGAGCATGCATGAGCAAGAAGCTGGAATCAGAAGCAAAGCCAGGCCTCAAACACTGGGACGCCAGTATGCATTGCGGGTGTCTTAACTGCTGTGCCCAAAACCCACCCCAACAGAGTTTCTTAACAGAGCAGCATTCTAAGAAGAAAAGCTCAGTGCTGGTGCTGTGGCGTAGCAGGTAAAACTGCTGCCTATTCTGCTAGCATCCCATATGGGCACCAGTTCAAGTCCCGACTGCTCCACTTCCATTCCAGCTTCCGGTTGATGCACCTGGGAAAGCAGCAGAAGATGGCCCAAATGTTTGGGCCTCTGCATCCACATGGCAGACCCGGAAGAAGTTCCTGGCTCCTGGCTTCGGATCAGCCCAGCCCCAACCATTGCAGCCATTTGGGGAGTGAACCAACAGGTGGAAGATATCTTGTCTGTCTGTCTGTCTGTCTGTCTCTCTCTCTTTAACTCTACCTTTCAAAATAAATAAATAAGTCTTTTTAGAAAATAGAAGAAGATAAGCTCCAATGCAAAAGCACTTATCAGGCCTGTTTATCTCCCGTTTGCTGATGCCCCATTAGCCAAACATGTCACGTGATCAAACTCAGGGTCAGCCAACAAGGAGACTACCAGGAGTTGTGACTTATTGTTCTAACAGCTTGCCACAGTCTGCCCCCTGGACCCAGGTATTCACATCCCTTCTCTATGTAAAACATGATCACCCCCTGGACCTAAAGTCTCATCCATTTCATGGCCTGAGTTCAGAGTCCACGATCTCATGATTTCTGTGATCCAGGTATGGAGCTGGCTCCATGGGTGCAGTCTCTCTTGAATCAGGGACTCAGGAATTAAAAGGCAAAGTTATCTTCCCTACCTCCACCACATAGCCAACATATAAGGGTTTTCAGAAAATTGATGGGAAATGTAATTATTTTAAAAACCGGGTATGGATATCAAAGGTGTTTGCACCAAAATAAGCTTATCTTTTAATCCCGTGTTTCCATGAATTTTTGAAGAACCTTGCACAGTCATGAGTCAGCAACAAAATAAGCACAATAATCTCTTCTGTTAAAAAAGAGGGAGCAAGGGGAGATACAGAACAGTCACTGGTCCATAGCAATTCCAAAATCCAGCTGGGCACTTGTCAGGCCCATCTTCAGTGGGAACAAGGAATGTATCTTTATTAGGACCCAGTTCCATTCTCTGGAAGTGGTTTTCTAACCCACCATTCTCTTTGGCTCTTGGCTCTGTCTTCTGATCTGACTTCGCTTTTCAGTAGGAAATGATTCATATTTGTAGCTGAGTACTGGTCTCAGCCTGCCTCTTGTCCATAGAAAGTTTGGGGTTGAGCCCCACCCCACCATCTTAAACTATCTCTTTTAGCTCAAACTCATACAACTGCCTTAAAAAAGTTTTTTGGATTTCTCTGAATTTGATTAGAGTTCACCCCCTACCTTAGAAGCCACATCCATGATTCTTTGAGTCTAACCTCTCCATTCCCGCGCTGATCCAATGGCAGGAGCCAGGTACTTCTGGTCTCCCATGGGGTGCAGGGCCCAAGCACTTGGGCCATCCTCCACTGCACTCCCGGGCCACAGCAGAGAGCTGGCCTGGAAGAGAGGCAACCGGGATAGAATCCGGCGCCCCGACCGGGACTAGAACCCGGTGTGCCTGGAGGATTAGCTTAGTGAGCCGCGGCGCCGGCCTTACACACCTTTTTATTTCTTGCCATTGTGTGGATTCTGCCTGGGGTTGTTCCACTCATGCAACTGCAGGAAACAAGCTAAGGCTGTTCATTGCATACATACTTGTCAGGCTTTGCTTGTGTCATGTTTGGTGAGTCCAGTTGGCCAAAGCAAGTCACATGACCAAGCTCAGGGTCAGTATGGAAGGAACTACACAGAAGCACGGAACCCTAGAGGCACAGAGCCATTTATAACAGATTCCAATAGATTTCTAGTTCTACATTAATTACTGTGTGTCCTTAGAGAAATAATTTCACTTATCTCACTTATCAAAAGGAATTAATACCACCTATCATAAGGTTGTGATGAGTTTCAAATTTTTAATACTTATTTTTGGGTTTCTCTTTTTTTCAAATTATAAAAATAAGATTTGGGGTGGGCATTTGGGCTAGCAGTTAAGATACCCTTATCCCTTATCAGAGTCATTGATCTGATATCTGGCTCTAGCTCTTTGCTAATCATGGGAGGCAATAATGATGGCTTAGGTGACTGAGTTCCTGATACCCACGTGGGACACCCAGTTTTAGTTCCCATCTCCCAGCTTCCACGTTGACTCAGCCCCAGCCATTGCAGGCATTTGGAAAGTGGATCCATGAATAGGAGTGCTCTCACTCGCTCACTCGCTCGCTGCCTCTCCCTCCCTCCGTCCCTCTCCCTCTCTCTTCTTCTCTTTCTCTGCCTCAATGCCTATCAAATAAATAATTTTTTTTGATTTTAAGTAATACATTTGTCATTGTACAAATATACAAACTGTAGAAAATTATCAAAAAAGGGAAGCAAGCATCCCTGAGATCCTACCTAATACAGAGCTATACTATAAGCCCCTCAAGGGCCTTTTCTGTCTCATTTATTACTGTGGGTCTTGCTGTGGATTCTTATTCTGAGAGGGTGAGGCCCCAAAGGACCTTTTTTATTCCTGGAAATCCCAGTTAGGATTAAAAGAGGTAATTTACATAAAGTGCTTGGCTTGGTGTGTGGCACAGATTATATTCTCATTTAAACTGGAGTTTTAGTAGATACTAATAATGATTTGCAAAACTCTGGAAGTTATAAGAGGGAAAAATATACTGAGAGCAAAGCATCTAAATAGATATGTGGTACTTGGCCCTCCACTGGCCAGTTTCTCACCGGGCCATCCTGGTGGCTTTGGGGTAGAAAGTAAGGAGTATTATACAGAATAAAGGCAGCAAGATCTGCTTATGGATCCCAAACTACTCAGTAGAGAAGTCTCCATTACAAGCTTTGTGAAAAAGGAATTTCAAAAAGAAATACTCTATGAAGTATTTTATTGGTTTTTTAAAAAGATTTATACTTATTTATTTGAAATACAGAAGGGCCAGAGTTGTGGCATAGTGGGTAAAGCCCCCACCTGCAGTGCCATCATCCCATCTGGGCACCGTTTCAAGTCCCAGCTGCTCCACTTCTGATCCAGCTCTCTGCTATGGCCTGGCAAAGCAGTAGAAGATGGCCCAGGTCCTTGGGCCCCTGCACCCATGTGGGAAACCCAGAAAATGCTCCTGGCTTCGGATCAACACAGCTCTGGCTGTTGCGGCCAACTGGGGAGTGAACCAGCAGATGGAAGACCTCTCTCTCTGCCTCTCCGTCTCTCTGTGTGTAACTCTGATTTTCCAATAAATAAATCTTTAAAAAAAAGAAAAAAAGAAAGAAAGAAAGAGGGGGCCAGCACTGTGGTGCAGCAGGTTAACGCCCTGGCCTGAAGCACCAGCATCCAATATGGGCGCTGGTTTGAGACCTAGCTGTTCCACTTTCGATCCAGCCCTCTGCTATGTCCTGGGAAAGCAGGAGAAGATGGCCCAAGTCCTTGGGCCCCTGCACCTGCGTGGGAGACCCTGAAGAAATTCCTGGCTCCTGGCTTCAGATCGGTGCAGCTTCGGCTGTTGCAACCAATTGGGGAGTGAACCAACGGATGGAAGACCTCTCTATCTCTCTCTCTATCTCTCTTCTCTCTGTGTAACTCTGACTTTCAAATAAATAAATAAATCTTAAAGATAAGAAAGAAAGTTATAGAAAGAGGTAGAGACAAAGAGAGGTTTTCTTTCTTTTTTTTCTTAAATATTTATTTATTTGAAAGTCAAGAGTTACACAGAGAGAGAAAGAGAGGTCTTCCTTTCACTGGTTCACTCCCCAATTGGTTGCAACAGCTGGAGCTGCATTGATCCGAAGCCAGGAGCTTCCTCTGGGTCTCCCATGCAGGTGTAGGTGCCCAAGGACTTGGGCCATCTTCTACTGCTTTCCAAAGCCACAGCAGAGAGCTGGATCAGGAGAGGAGCAGCTGGGACTTGAACCGGCACCCATATCGGATGCTGGCACTGCAAGCAATGGCTTTACCTGCCGTGCCACAGTGCTGGCCCAAGGAGAAGTTTTTCATCCACTGGTTCACTTCCCAAATGGCTGCAACGGTAGGAGCTGAGCTAATCTGAAGCCAGGAGCCAGGAACTTCTTCTAAGTCTCCCATGAGGGTGCAGGGGCCCAAAGACTTGGGCCATCCTCCGCTGCTTTCCCAGGAATATTAGCAGAGAGGCAGATCGGAAATGGAGCAGCCGGGACTCAATTGTTGCCCATATGGGATGCTGGAGCTACAGGCCGTGGCATTAACCTGCTGCACCACAGCATTGGCCCAATATTTTATTGTTCTAAATTGAACTCTGACAGTAGTGATAAAATGATATTTTGGACACTCAGATAAATCTTACCTTTCCCTTCTAGTCAAAGAAGCTTGGCAGAGATCACAGAACTTATCCATACTGCTCTCCTTGTACATCGTGGAATAGTAAATTTAAGTGAATTGCAGTCTTCAGATGGGCCACTGAAGGATATGCAATTTGGAAATAAAATAGCCATCCTGAGTGGAGACTTTCTTCTAGCAAATGCCTGCAATGGACTCGCTCTGCTACAGAACACCAAGGTAAAAATGGGCGGGTTTGCTTGTGCCTGGACAACCTCACATGGCTCTTGGTTCTTGGTTGACTGATAGAGCCACAGAGGTATTTGCACATCCTGCTCCCCAACTCGTGTCATGCAGATTCTTAGTAAACTGTGATGAAGATGATGATGGCAGTGTCAACACCAGGCAAAACTGGTAAATGCTAGGGAAGCGTTTTGAAATTAATTTCTATTTTTTTATAATTATACATGAAATTATACGTTAATTATAGGATACCATTAAATATTTAAAAATATTTATAAACACAATTGATATTCTGATGCATTTGCTTGCTATCTATTTTGTTGTTCTATCATACCTTTATATATGTGGATTTTTTTTTCTTGGTAACACAGTTGAGCACTCGCTAATTATAAGGTTTTTTTTTTTTTTTTTTTTTGACAGGCAGAGTGGACAGTGAGAGAGAGAGACAGAGAGAAAGGTCTTCCTTTGCCATTGGTTCACCCTCCAATGGCCGCAGCGGCCAGCGCACCGTGCCTATCCAAAGGCAGGAGCCAGGTGCTTCTCATGGTCTCCCATGCGGGTGCAGGGCCCAAGTACTTGGGCCATCCTGCACTGCACTCCCAGGCCACAGCAGAGAGCTGGCCTGGAAGAGGGGCAACCAGGACAGAATCCGGCGCCCCAACCGGGACTAGAACCCGGTGTGCCAGCGCCACAAGGTGGAGGATTAGCCTAGTGAGCCGCAGCGCCAGCCCAATTATAAGGTCTTAATATCTTGTTTATTTTTTCTTGCTTCGTGTTTTGAAGTGGGCATTTCCCCATGTTACTAAAAATTTACTTGTTAATGGCTGCATAATATACAGTCATTTAAATGTAATATCATTTATTTAAACAAGTTCCTCATTGTTGGACATTTAGGTTAATCTTAATTTTTTTTAAGATTTGTTCATTTATTTTGAAAGAGTTATAGAGAGACAGAGAGGGAGGATCTTCCATCCACTGGTTCACTCTCTAGGTGGGCACAACAGCCAGTGCTAAGCCAGGCTGAAGCCAGGACCCAAGAGGTTCATCCTATTCTCCCATGTGGATAACAGGGGCCCAAACCTTCGGTCTGTCATCTTCTGCTTTTCTCTGGCCATTAGCAGGGGGCTGGGTCAGAAGTGGAGCAACCTGGACATGAACCAGTGCCCATATGGGATACTGGCATCACAGTGGTTTTTCCTGCTATGCCACAATGCCAGCCTCTGCCTCTTCATTTTTGCTGTCATAAATCTGCAGCAAATATCTTTGTACAACAATCTTCTCATTCCAGATTTCATATTTAAAATAAATACCTAGAAGTAGTTTAAATGGTTTGAGCATCTTTAATGTCTTAATACACATTGCCAAACTGCTTACTGGATAGGTTGCAGAGGTATTCCATGCATATCAGTTAAGATAAGATTTGACTTGGAGAGCCGGCGCCGTGGCTCACTAGGCTAATCCTCCACCTTGCGGCGCCGGCACACCGGGTTCTAGTCCCGGTCGGGGCGCCGGATTCTGTCCCGGTTGCCCCTCTTCCAGGCCAGCTCTCTGCTATGGCCAGGGAGTGCAGTGGAGGATGGCCCAGGTGCTTGGGCCCTGCACCCCATGGGAGACCAGGAAAAAGCACCTGGATCCTGGCTCCTGCCATCGGATCAGCGCGGTGCGCCGGCTGCAGCGGCGGCCATTGGAGGGTGAACCAACGGCAAGGGAAGACCTTTCTCTCTCTGTCTCTCTCTCTCACTGTCCACTCTGCCTATAAAAAAAAAAAAAAAAAAAGATTTGACTTGGATAAGAGTGGCCTAAATGAGTTAAGAGCTTTTTCCCCTTCCATGTATAAATACCTAGGAGTTGGTATGGTGACTCTACAGTCAGGAACCCAAGTTCCTTCTTTCTTGTGGTTCCACCACGCTTACCTTCCCACTTCACGACAACTCCATCACATCCTCCCTCCATTCAGTAGGAGAGAGGAGGCAGGGAGGGCAAAGAGGGGCAGATCTGCTTCCCTTGAAGGTCAGGTGAGTGTGCATACTGGTTGGCTAAAGGCAGTTGCTGTGTCCAACCTAGCTTTTGTCCTGGATTTTTCATTTTTTAATAGATAATTATGAGTAATAATTGCATTGGAATTAGCCAGGATTCATTTGATAGATTTCCATTTTGCACTTCCAGACTCTGCCTTAATTTTTGTCTCATATAATCTAATAATATTGTGAGCCCCTTACACAAAGGTGAGAGTTCTCATTTTAAGATATCTTTAGGGGCTACATCTATGGTGTAGCCAGTACAGCCACTGCCTGCAGTGCCAGCATCCCATATGGGCGCCAGTTCAACTCCTAGCTGTTCCACTTCTGACCCAGCTCTCTGCTGTGGCCTGGGAAAGCCGTAGAAGGTGGTCCAAGTCCTTGGGCCCCTGGCTGCATGTGGGAGGTCCAGAAGAAGCTCCTGGCTCTGGCACAGCTCTGGCCTTTGCAGCCATCTGGGGAGTGAACCAATGGATGGAAGACCTCTCTCTCTCTGTTCCCCCCCTGTCCCTCTGCCTTTATATCTTTAAAGATAGAAAGATATCTTTAAATGTGCATGACAACCAGCAATAACTCCCGTCTTTTCCAAGTCCTTTCAGTCACAGCATAACTAACATTTCCCAATCAAGGACAGAACGCAGGGCAACTCTGACAAAGTGCACTCAGACAAAGATGTCTGGAGACAGCTCACTCCTTCTTGTGTCAGGTAGTAGAAGTATTTGACACAGCTGCCCCACCTGGCTACTTGGTGTATCACTCAGTGATCCCTGGCCCCTGCGTGGCTTGAAAGACTCATAAAGCCACCCATAACTCATCAGTGAGTTCAACAGGAAGCAAACTAAGTTATAGTACAGATGGAAAAGCAAGGCTGATCTGTCAGAGCTGCTGGGGAGCAAGGAGTGAGTAGACTGAGCATGCTTGTTTGTGTGGTCTGAATCTGTATTTTTTTTTTTTAAACCTTGGTTTTGCAATAAACTTTTTTCCAACAGTTAAATCCAAAAACCTAAAAGTATATGTTTCAATTGTTAAAGGCACCAAAGTTTTGTTTCTTAAGAAAGTTGAATTGGCATGTGTAACTTAGACAAGACACTTGTGGACATTTGCTATCGCGGTAATATCGCTGACCACATAATGACAGGTAGAGTCAAGTCTGCTGAACAGACTGTCGGGATCCACTTCTGAAATTAGTAGTTACCTCTGCTACCACTCTATGAAGCCTAACTTTTCTTTCTGTGAACTGTTCTTCTAATGTAATTTGACACATTTCAATTACAAGTTCTTAGGTGCATATAGGAAAAGGGCAACAGTAGTTCTTTAGCTTGCTGGCTCCCTTGGTAGAAGAACTTTATAAACAGGTAATTGCAGTTTTGGTGCATTGTCATCAGGTACTTCAAATAATTAAGTCATTCAAATTGATTATGCTTTTTAACAAGATGACTCAAACCAATATCTGTCTTCCTCCTTTTTCTCTCTTTCTCTTCTGCTTTCTCTCTCCCTTTCTTTTTATTTATTTACTTATATTTGAAAGGCAGAATGACAGAGACTGAGAGATCTTCTGCTGATTCCTTCCCCAGATGGTTCCCGCCCCAAATGCTAGCAACAACCAGGGCTGAAGCAGGATGAAATCAGGGGCCAGGAACTGAATCCAGGTCTGCCTTGTGGGTGGCAGGGACCCAGAGCACTTGAGCCATCACTTGCTGCCTTGTAAGTGTGTGCAGTAATAGGAAGCTGGAATTGGAAACATAGCTGGAACTCAAACCCAGGCACTCCAGTGTGGGAAGTAGCATTCTAAGCAGTATCATAACCACACAATTGCCCAACCCTGATTCTAAAAATTGTTAATTTGTTTTTTTTTCTTTCTTTATATCCATTCATGAGATCAAGGTAAAAGCTTTTGGAAATATGTTCTATCAAAGGTAAAGCCTTTGTGAGTAAAACTGGAAATTCAATTTAAATGTTCAACATTGAAAATAAATGAAATTCAACACTGAAGATAAGTTATTAGTGTATACAAATGATACAAGTACAGACTTTGGTGAAGCACAGTGTCATAGCAGAAGCAGTATCTTGGCTACATTAAGAAGCCTGTAGAGTAGTTGGAATTGATGTGGTACATATATAATTCATAATTGCATTCAAACAAACTTCAATACTTCTCTAATTGAAATAGAAGCTATTGCTACATCAAAAAAAATTATAAGATTTATTTTATTTATTTGAAAGGCAGAGTTACAGAAAGAAAGAGATCTTCCATTCACTGGTTCATTCCCCACGTGGCCGCAATGGCCAGTGCTGGGCCAAGCCAGAGCCAGGAGCTTCATCTGGCTCTCCCATGTGGGTGCAGGGCCCCAAGCACGTGGGCCATCCTCCACTGCTTTCCCAGGGCATTAGAAGGGAGCAGAATCAGAAGTGGAAAAGCTGGGACTTGAATTGGTGCCCACATTGGATGCTGGCATTGCAGGCAGTGGCTTAACCCATCACACCACAATGCTGACCCCTGTTACATCAAAATTTACAAATATTTTTTTAGTTGGAGTTGATGAACTGTAAGATTTAAGGAATGGAGCTAATGTTCAGTATGAAAATATACTTAAGCACAGTGGTGTCTGGCTTCTCTCTTCGTTGTCTGTCATCAATCAGATTTTAAAAATCTTTATAAATATCTATGCTCAACGATGGTATTGGACTTTGTTCTAATATGCCCATCAAATGTTTGTTGGCTTAGGAAAAAAAAAAGTTTGAAAGGCAGAATGTCAGAGAAGGAAAGACAGAGAGAAAGCGGTATCTTCCATCTACCGGTTCATTCCCCAACTGCCCACAACACCCCAGAGGCTGGGCTGGGCTGAAGCCAGGAGTCAGAAACTCCATCTGGGTCTCCCATGTGGGTGGCAGGGACAAGTACTTGATCCATCACATAATGTCTCCCAGGCACATCTGCAGGGAGCTGGATAGGAAGCAAAATAGCCAGGACTCAGACTG